GCAGAATGCCTTCAGACATCAAATGCAACAATAGCATTTCCCTGGGTATCCAGCCTGACAGCCTTCACAACTGAACTGCAACACTGCCCCTTCCTGAGTCTCCAGCCTCTCGATCCACCCTATGGATTTTAGGCTTGACAGTCTTTGTAATTGTATGAGCCAATTATTTGAAATCTCTCTCTCTCTCTCTCTCTCTCTCTCTCTCTCACACACACACACACACACACACATCATATTGATTCTGTTTCTTTGTAAAACTCTTAATAAAAAAAATAGAAGGGACAAAGTAACATAACTTTGGATGATTTGAAGAATTGAAACCTATGACCATGTTATTTAGAAGAAAAACAAACCTAGTAAAAACAACAATGTTGGAAAGAAAACTAACTGAAGCATTATATTAGTTGAAATGACAAACTGGTCAAAATGAAGATTCCATTCCCTAGTTTTTTTCACTTCTTGATAACTGTATGTATCATTGACATTTTTGCAAACTTGAGACAACTTTTGGTTTTTTTTTTTTGAGAGATTTTTGCATGCACTTGCCAGAGACAAGAAATGAGAAATTATCCCCCCACCCCCGGGGAACAGCCACACTGCAAGCAGTCCTTCTCCTCCATTCTCCTCTTGGGATTTTGGGCACGCACACACACACACTGGTGTGAGTTTTAAGTCACTGAGTCCAGCACTTAAACCACAGTCAAATACATGGGAGTCCAGCAATGTAACTGCTACACCATCTGCTGGGCCCGACATCTTTGGTTTTTTAATAATATGGGAGGATTGCTCCTACTTTATTTCAAACTCATTTTCCTGCCCTATGCAGTTTATAATAGCAAAACTTTAAATCTATTTTTAAAATTCACATTTTTGTACAACTGACATACATTATGAGTCCAAAATTTAACAGCATTCTTACCTTATATAGCTGCATTTATACAATTATTTGAATGTTGTTTTTCTCTTTTATATACAAATAAGTGGAAAACAATAAGAGACCGTCAAAAAAGTGTTCTTAATAACAAGCAAAGGTCTCAGTGTTATTGAGGTTAAGATGGAGCTCATTTAACATGCAAAGAAAAGTGGACGTACAACCTCTGCCAGCTAGTCATTCATCTTCACTCATCTTAGTGTTCAATTAAGAGACGGAACAACATTTTAAACATGGAGGAAACACATGATCAACATTTGCTTGATAGGCAGAGTAATTAGAAATGTTATGGTATTTTCAACTTTATGAGATTGGAATGCCCCTTATAACTGGTAATGTCTTTGTTCAGCTTTCACATTCGATCTTCTCACATGCATTTAAAAGCATGGAATTATAGGGTAGTGCTTCTCAAACTTTATGAACCTTAAACATCCCTTGAATTTTTGCATTTTTCAGTGCTAGAATTTCTATTTGTTTTGTTGTTTTCTTTGTATATGCCATGCCACCTTTATAGTTTCTAATTCCAGTTTTGAGTTTAACTTATAGCTCCTTGAACATATTAAGCATAAATGTTTCATGATCTAAGTCTGCTAATTCCAACCTCTCAAAGTCTATTTCTATCACATATTGTTCCTATTTCTTCATGTAGCCAATTACCTCTGATTATCTGCTGGCTAATGATAAAAAAAAAAAACCTCATAGATATGATTCAGGCCTAAGACAATATTATCTTCCTCCAATGAAGATTTGGAGGATTTGAGAGCATTCAAATCATGGATTACCTTAATCCGAATTCAAAATTTAAGATTTCCTGGATTTACCAGAATCTTCAAAGCTTATCCATAGTCTAAGACAATTGGTTTATTTACAGTTTATTCTGACTCCTACAGGAGAGTTCTTCAGGGGTCCCAACTCTTGGTCCCACTTGCCTCTACCCTCTGGATCCCCAATTTTTTAAATGTTTATTTCTTCCACAAGAGAGGCAGAGACAGAGAAACAGTCACCCCCAATAGGCTCCCCATGCCATAATTCACCCCAGTATCAACTGGCCACGGCCATGGGTGTGCCCAGCATCCTCAGGGAGGTGCCAGGATGCAAACCTAGACCCCTTTCCATGTAGGTCCAGTAGCATTACCACTGCACTAACACCTGGCCTCAGACCTTAATTTTTACCTTCTAAGACCTTCAAGCTGCCAAAAGTTAACTCAGCCCTTCAGCTAACTCTTCCAGAATGCACCTTAGGAAAAACTAGCCCTAAGTGCTGGTTTCCTTCTTTGGATTCCTCTCCCCTCCCAGGATTAGTTTAGCAATTATCACTATCTTCTTGACTTTGATACATTTTTTTAAAGATTTATTGGGGACAGCAAGTGGCATGGTAGCTAAGATGGCTGGACTCCCACATGGCCGACCACAGTTCAAATCCCAGACCTGGTGGCTTACTTTTTCACTTTCCCTCTCTCTCTCTCCCTGTTTCTCTCTGGTCAAATTTAAACAAACAAACAAACAAATAGTTGTTTAAAACACACACACACACACACACACACACACACAAATCATTATTTTATTATTTTTAAATTTGCGGGAACCAGCAGTTAGCGTAATGGCTATGTCGCTGGACTCCCACGTAGTCGACCGCGGTTCATGTCCTGGACCCAGTGGCTTAAAACTCACGCCGGGCGCGTGTGTGTGCATGCCCAAGATCCTGAGAGGAGAATGGAGGAGAAGGGATTGCAGCGTGACCATCCCCGCTGGGGGGTGATTTCTCGCTTTCTGTCTCTATGTCTCTGTCTGTCTGTCTGGCAAGTGCACGCGCCCTACAGTGAAAATCTCTCCAAAAAAAAAAAAAAATTGCTATAGGGTTCATACTTCCACCGGAGAGCAAAAGAGAGAGAAAGAAAGTGAAAAAGCAAGCCACTAGGTCCAAAACTCAAGTCATAGTCAGTCAGTCATGTGGGAGTCCAGTGCTCTAACTAACATGCCACCTGCTGGCCTCGACTTCGATACATTTAAGAAAATGTGTTTTGTGGTTTTGTTTTCAGGTTTTTTTCTTAAAGAATTATTTATTTATTTATTATTTTAATTTGGTATAGGGCAAATGCACTCACCAGAGAGAGACAGAGAGGAAACGTAAGAAACTTATAGCTTTTATAATTTTATATATACACAAATAAAATACATACACAAATACATACATATGTACATATAATTTTTTTTAAATTTTACCACAGGGTACATGTACTTACCGAAGAGAGGCAGAAAGAAAAAAGTGAGAAGTCATCCCCCCCGAAGGGGGAGGGCCACATCATGATCCCTTTTCCTCTTGGGATCCTGGGCACACACTCACTCGTACCAGGTACGATTCTCAAGGTGCCAGGTTCTCAAGGTACTGTATTCTAGGAATACAGTACCTTAACCACCACACCACCTACAGGCCCCTATAATGTTACATTTTTATATTTTATCATTTTTATATTTTTTAACCAGAAGTCAAATTATAATTATATAAATTGCCAACAACACTGTCAAAGTTTATTTTTCAGTTTCTGATTCGTACTTCTGAAACATTTAGATATAAATATCCAAGAAAGCAATAATAACCAATACTTTTTTCTTCTATAATTCTGTTTCCATAATAACAGGAATAAATTAAGTTGGAAAAAAATCATTACTAACATTCAATCTGGCTGGCAAGTGGCATGGTGGTTGGGTGCTGGATTCCCATATGACCAACTATGGTTCAAGTGCCAGACCTGGAGGCTTGCTTTCTCACTTTCCCTCTGGTCAAATTAAAAAATAATAATAATTATAACAATGATGAATAAAATTAAATATACATATATATTTTTTTTAATTCAATCTGGCCTGATTGAAATTCTCCTTTAAGGGCAGAGGGTCAAATTTGAAGATGAAAATTTAAAAGCATACCATAAACCACAAAGAAGGAGAATATTTCAGCCAAGAAGAGTCAAGGTAAAATAGAAGACTAAGAGTTCTGTGATAAAATGCAAACCCAACCTTCTACCAGTGCCTTCATGGCAATAACTTTCAATGTTATTATGTTATGATCCTCCCCAATCTGTTTCAACCATATGGCCAATATTCTCAACCCAATTCTTTTTCACTATTTTAATTTTCACTAAAACTACAGTAAATCCAATGAAGGGGTACTAATGACTAGCTCCAACTCTAAACTTAGTTTCTCAGTTTTATATATCAGTAGGGTAGCTGCTTCTTGTCATACACACTCTTCCTAGACAAGAATCTATCTCATAAACATTGTAGAATGAGATCAAATAAACCAAAAGTCCCCTCTCATTAATAGAATCTCAATAGTATAATGGTCAACAGGTAGGTAAAATGTCACCACAAAGGTACTAGCTACAACTGCCACAGGCAGAGCAGCCCCGTCTCGGCATGCCGATGTCCTCGCTCCTCTCCCCCATCGTTGACGAGTTCATGATGACATCCTTATACCTCATTAGTTGCCAGGAGAGGGAGTCACTTGGCCTTTTTTCCATGACTCAGCCCCGTATTTTACAAGCCCAGGTGGTCTCACGCACACAAACACCATTTCTCAGACACAAGTGTCTACTTACATTTTTGTTATAGATTTCAATACAAGCTTTTATTTTATGGCTTTTCTCTTTAGGTGATAACAAATATATTTTATCATGCTTTAAGAGATTTCATAAGAAATAAAAAATAGCATCTCTATATAATTTCCTCTACCCAGCAAGCCAGATTTATTTTGCATGAATGTTTCTTCCTTTGTAAAACCAGAGAGTAAAATTTCAAATAAGAATCTTAATTTAAATCCGCTCTCTAGTCCCGCAGCCAGCAAGTACCACGCTCTTCTTGAATTCCAAAGAAAGCAATTGTAAATCAGGTTCTATAGAACTTCTTTGGTTTGTATTTAGGCCGATGATTTATGCAATTCCACAAAGAAATCAGTGTTATATTTTTCTTAACATTCAACTTAAAACATTAGGCGTAATAAGCTGAATGGGGAAAAATCATAATCACATGCTAAAACTATAAGCATGAAAAAAAGTAAACACGAAAACAAATCTCTTTTTTAAAAAATTCATTTAATTACCAGAAAATTACACGGTTCCAAACAAATTCTCTGTATAAAAACAAGGGCTCATTTGCCATCATCTTTTTTTATTTCTCTCTCAAATAACATTCTATCTATTGAACCTAGTCTTTCCTGGCAAACATTAGAATAAATGTTTTTTTTTTAATGTTTAATATTCCATTAAACAGAAGTAGCTTTTGTTCCTGAAGTTAGGATGATGTCTGTCATCTTGCTTCAGAGAAACTTTAAAATTGCTCCCTACGACTATTTCAATTAGCCACGCCCAAGACTCAACCCAGAAACAACAATAACAACAAAACCGCTGCTGTTTTACTAAAAGACTGCTATCTTCCATTTCATTTTACCAGCCCAAGTACAAATTCGGAGAAAAGCTTCTTAAGTCCTGCAGTTTCAAATTCCTTTTGTAATTCATCCAACGCTGAATACTCTTTGACTTCAAATGCCAGAAACCTGCATTATACAAGAGAAACTCATGAATATGCCTAGATTTGTCAGAGTATAATTATCGATTCAGTTGCTTTTCCATCTGCAATAGTACTAAATTATACCTTTTGTGTTCTGTCTGTACTTTTGTTTCAAACAGTACACTAATCATTTTCTCTTTGCATTTCTTTCCACTTGAGTCCACATCTACTTTGGAGGTTTTCTGAAGAATCAGGTACTCCTAAATGATAAATCAGTATGTTAAATACATACCTTACTCTAAGTCTCAAAGTAAGTTCTGGTTTTAAAGGAGCCATAAAGCTGCAGGCTTATTTTCATGCTTAAAAAGTGTTCTCATCCTGGGAACCAGCAGTTAGCGGAATGGCTATGTCACTGGATTCCCACGTAGTCGACCGCGGTTCGTGTCCCGGACCCGGTGGCTTAAAACTCACACCGGGCGCGTGTGCGTGCGTGTCCAAGATCCCGAGAGGAGAATGGAGGAGAAGGGACTGCGGCGTGACCATCCCCCCTGGGGGGGTGATTTCTCACTTTCTGTCTCTATGTCTCTCTCTGTCTGTCTGGCGAGCACATGCGCCCTACAGTGAAAATCTCTCCAAAAAAAAAAAAGTGTTCTCATCCTGAACCAAGCAGTGAGGGAAATACACAGTATTTGTTTTAGAGGTTTTGGCCATAGGACACATGCGCTTGCCAGAGAGACAGAAACAGCAAGAGGGAAAGTGAAAAATCACCCCCCAGAAGGGGTAGCCATGTCACAATCCCTTCATTCTCCTCCCAGGATCTTGGGCACACACACTCACATGCCTGGTGCGAATCTGAAGCCACCAGGTCCAGGACTTGAACCAAGGCCATGTGGGAGTCCAGTGATATAACCACTACAGCGTCTGCTGGCCCCAATTCATGGTATTTTTACGTATGTGGCAGAAGAATGCACTGATGAATATGGGGGTAATGGGTGATGTAATCAAACTACTTAAGTTTAAACTGGACTGCCTACTAGCTCTAACTTTAGGCCTGTAAATCCTCTGTACATCACTAACTCCTCCATATCAAGGAGACTCATAACAGTGTCTACTTCCTGAATGAGATAGACATGCAAAGCACTTAGAGGAGTACCTGGCAAGTAGTGCGAGGGCTCACTTAACAATAGCACAAACTGCTGTGTCGTTGTTACTAATTCAGCATCTAGACCAAGTTACCAGGTACACAACACTTACTTTCCAAACTGCTGGCATCTCTAAATTAGGTACTGTCCATTCTCAATCCTAGTCCATTCTCAATCCTAGTGTATGATCTTGTAAAAATTTAACACAGAAATTTACGTGACATGACATTTTAGAGATAGCTAAAAAAACCTCTTAGAAAAGTATTATGTCGCTCCATTAGCAGACATCTAGTTACATGAATGAACACTTGTTGATTAATGGATGATTTAATCTGAGTAACAACATCTGCAAAACAGCTGCAGTTAGCCTAATATGCTTCAGCAGGCTAAAAAAAAAAAAATGTAGCCTTTTGGGTAAATACGAGCAAGAAAATTAACGTGTATTAATTTGATTGGCTAGTATCTTATACAAAAGGACCAAACTGTAGAGAAATGCCATAAATCACCTTAAAAATACGTGGTTCTTTGATCAGGCCACAGTTCAAAATATATATTAAATGTGAATTGTATAACCCAGCATGGATTAGGTTAACTAAATGCCCAAGTAGTTTAATGGAAAGAACCCTTCATGAAGAAACTAGGCCGTTATTTTATAAATCTTTAAGATTATAGGTTGTTCACACTAAACCTGTTTTAAATAAATTCAGTTGTAATTATTCCTGACCCAACCTATCTGAATGTGTAAAACCTATTAAGTGGTTTGTAGCTCTTTTAAAATTTAAAATATAATAAGCAGTTTTCCTCATCTGGTCCCATATAAAACAGGTTAGATGAGTTGCGAAGAACATGAAAAATCTGAAGAAAATGATGATTTTGAAAGCAGCTGCTGAGACAAGTCAGGTGGAAAGCAAAAGTTAGGTAGGAGGTGACAAGCTGACAGCCCTAATGATTCTACTTCTACTAACACTAACTCTTGGGTATAAGGGACAAGTTCCTCTTTCCAGGTATTATAGATACCAAATTAAAGTGTCAGAAGGTATTTTCAACTGCCAGGAAGTTACACATTTTGCAGACTACCCACAAATATACACCGTGCTGTGCTTAACTACGGAAATATTAATATGCACAAACGTGTAGTGTACATTTAGAATGCTGAGGCTCATAGCTAATTACAGAAACACCCATGTGCCACCGAGATTATTTTTTATAGAACCTGTCACTTTCATTAAGTGGCATGAGTTTTAAATATAATCTTCTACGTATTCTTCAAGCCCTGCAAGTCTGCAGTTGTAATTAGGAGTTACACATTATTAAAAAGAGAAAATGAAGATCTATTAACATGGTAATGGTGAAAGCAGAAACATCCTCAATGATTAATCTACCCCATTGTTATAAAACACACTTTAACATATACAATTTTAAGCAGAAAATAGCCAGATTCATATTCAACATTTAACTTTTTGGCACCTTGATGTTGTTTCTGTCTCCTTGTAGCAAAATCAGTATTATTTTACCCATGAACATCAGTCTTCCTGTCAGTCTTAAATCTGCAGCCCACTTCTCCACAGTTCTGACGTATTTAGTCTTTGCTCTCATGTGATCTAAATGTAAAAGAGTGATCCACAATCCATCATCTAGCAAAGTTGACAAAGTACACTTTTCACCGCTACGTCCAGTTTCTGGTTGGCTGAGGATATGCCTGAGATTCTGCTCAATCCAGAGAACCAGCTCGTGCACCATAGGTTCCGACAAAAGTTTCTCTGCCTGCTCCAGCAACTTTTCTCTCACAGCCACACACTGGGTCCTGGTCAGGTGTTCGGAGTTAACCGAGATACCAGGGAGACACAGAGGGTAATTGATCGGTAAATGGAACACCAATTCTAAGGGTATTCGGGCATCCGTAAGTCCTTCAGCTTTTGTGTGAATTCTGAACACGATCCCATCTGTCTCTGGAAGGTATCCAAAAATAATCATTAGCTGTACATAATTCAATTTGAATGGAACACTAACAAGTTAAAAGTTTGGTTTCAAATCTCAATTTCTTGTCATGAGCATACTCTTATTTTAGGACAAGACACATGATGGTAAGAAAGCATGATTTATACATTTTCTTCCATCATACACGTATGTTCGTGTATTCATGCATGCCAGCACCCAGGACCTAAGTAGCGTTGATGCTTGCTATCTCCCTATTTTTGTTAAGTTACCATCATACAATTTTTACCCAGCCACACTTACTTAATAATAACCCCCTATTAAACATTATGAGCTTTCAAAGAAAGAGTACCATGTTTCTATCAAGGGACTTCAAAAAAACTTACAGCAAATGGAATTAAAGTACAAGTTTGTTTTGGTACAAAAAACTTTTAAATATATGCACACTTTTCTTTCATAATATACATTTCCCATGAACTTTGCGTAGACCTTTAAAATACAGCCAGTAATGAATGAAACAGTTAGGCACGCAATCCATGGAAGGCCATTCTGTGGTAAGGCAAGTCAAAGTGAAGGCTGGAGTCCCACGTGGTCATAGGGTGGCGGAGTAACCGGAACTCACTCTCTCCTTATTTCTAATACATTAGTATCAGAGTAACATGACGGTAGCGTGAGAAACTGAAATGGCGTGGGCATCAACTCAGCCTCTCCGGGCTTCCCAAGGAGGAGGGGGGAGGCACACACGGGATGTGAGATGAAGTGCTGTGCTCTCTTTCAGATTTGCTTGGCTTCACCCCTCTGATGTGTTCCACACCACTTCATCCCACTTTTCAAAAAGTTGGTAAAACGTCAGGCTGACTCATTTCTGCAGGGGGCCGAGCACACAGATCAGAAGAGCGGAGCAGAACAGAACTGGGTGCAAATGAGTCTCTGGGAAGCAAACATGCCTCATTCCATGTCCACGCCCTCGTTTTAGTCTTCCTCACGAGAGCACTTGATCCCTCTCATTTTTATACCTGGACTCTTGCTCAACCACCTCAACCACTGACACCTGAATGCACTTCTGTTTTCAAGAACCTAACAGGACGTTCAAGTTGCTTTTTAGCCATTTGACTCCATGTATATAAAAGTCATTGTTAGGGACATTGATTCAGATGGGACCAAGCACACTGTTGCAGAGTTTTTCTTTAACAGACTCTTCAGTACCAGCTGTGAGGAACTGCTATTTTAGGATATTACCTAGAAACATAGGCAATAACTATTATAAAAACCACATGAAAGTGATATAGTTTAAATCTGTGTAAGTAAAATGTGCACTGTAAAGGAAAAATTCTTCCAAAACTAACTTAGTACATTTGTCTAAAATCTATGTTTCTCAAAACTTTTCTTCCATCCTGTTAATTATTTTTTCTTTCTTTTTCTGAAGGTTTTTGCCATAGGGTACATGTGCTCACCAGGGAGAGAGAAAGACAGTGAGAGGGAAAGTGAGAAATCATGCCCAGGGATGACCAGTGTGGGATGACCACACTGCAATCCCTTCTACTCCATTCTCCTCCAGGAATTTGGGCTGGCATGCAAACACACCCAGTATGATTTTTCAAGCCTCGAGGCCCAGGACTCAAACTGCAGTCAGTCATGTGGGAATGTAGCACCTTAAGCACCATGCCATCTGCTGGTCCTCCAGTTAATTATCTTTTATTTTATTTATTTTTTTTTTGAGAGGTTTTTGCTATAGGGCACATGCACGTGCCAGAGAGGCAGAAAGAGAGAAATCACCCCCAGGGGGGATGGCCACGCCACAATTCCTTCTCCTCCATTCTCCTCTTGGGATCTTAGGCACGCACGCACACGCGCCCAGCGTGAGTTTAAGCCACCAGGTCCGGGACTCAAACCGTGGTTGGCTACATGGGAGTTCAGCGACATAACCATTACACTAACTGCTGGTCCTGTTAATTATATAGGTATCCATATATATTGCCAGAGAGTATGTTTGCTCACCAGATACAGAGAAAGGAGAAGAGAAAAAAGCAACCTCCCCCCATAGGGCATGGTCACACTGCAATCCCTTTTCTTCCATTTCTCTGTCCTTTCAGGACTTTGAGCATGCACACAATGTACCAGTACATTTTTTAAGCTGCTGGGATTAGGATCCCACAGTAAGCCGTGTGGGATCCATCTCCCTTAACAACCAGACCATGAGGCCAGAATGGAAGAAGTATAACTTTTTCTTTATTTTTAAGAATTATTTATTTTATTTATTATTCTAATTTGTTATAGGACACTCACAAGAACGAGAAAGAGAGAGAGAAGGAGGGAAAGTAAAAAAGCGAGTTACCAAATCTGGGACTCAAACTGCAGTCACGTGGGAGACCAGCGCCCTAACCACCACACCACCTACTGGCTCTGGTATAACTGTTAAAGGTCTTCATTCATGCATCATTCAATAAACATTCACTGAGGAGCACCTACGAAGTCTAAGAAAAGAACCAAGACAATAATTGGTGGTGTCTGGGAGGTAAGGGAAGCAAGAATTCTGAGAAGAATGTATAGTGGCTTCTAACATCACTTCTCTCTGAAGCTCCTTTCTCAAACATTACCAATGACCTTCCGATGGCCACCATGCAGGAAAATAAACAACAGCAGGCCTGGGTTAATCAAAGCCTGCACACCCCCAAGAAGGGCCTGTGTTCTGGGCTGGCCTATCCTGGCTCCTGAAGGATGAGCTCTCAACTCTTACGATAGTCTATCCGATAACAGTAGGTTTCGTATGATTGAAGCCTTGGGGCAAATCATGCCACTTTCATTAAATGGTTTATGGTAACAATATGCTTTATGGTAATCTTCTTACTCCAGGGTTGAATGTGAGTAGCCGAAGTCAGTCACTGTGGGTACTATATGCTTACATGACTGACCCCCAGTAAAGACTCCAGAGGCCAAGGCTCGAGCAGGTATTCCTGGTTGACGACACATCTCACATACTGTCACATATTATTGCTAAGAGAATTAAGAATGTCTATGTAGAATATGTCTAAGTATGTCTACAGTAGAATACACCTGGAAACACCCCAGGCACATGTGTGCATGCCTGAAACCCCGAAAGGACAGAGTACAGAAGATTGTGGCAGGACCACACTCCATTAGGGGCTGCTTTCTCCCTCTCCACTCCCTCTCTCCCTCTCTTTCTGTTTCTCTCTGGTGAGTGCATCACCCTCTGAAAATTAAAAAAAAAAAAAAAAAAATTGTGTGGGGTTGGAAATGGTGGTGCAATAGTAACACAACTTGCTGTGGTACTGGAACCATATGAGAAGGTCCTGGGTTTGTGTCCGGAGGTCTGCCTGACAGTCAGGGATCAGTCTCTTGGGATGAAGACCTGTTGGGGATTTCTGTTCCCCTTTTCTATTCCTCTTCTCTCCCTCTCTTTATCTCTCATGGAAGAAATAAACATTGAAAAAGAGAATGAGGGAGGGGGCCCAGCTAGTGGCACAGTTGTTAAGGCAGCTGGATTCCACATGGCCAGTGTGCAGTTTCAGCCCTGAACCCAGAGGCTTGAAAAACAGGCCAGATGCATTGTGCATGCGTGTCCAAAATCTCAAGAGGAGAATGGAGGAGAAAGGATTGTTCATGGCCATCCCCCTTGGGGACATGCTTTCTCTTTCTCTCTCTCTCTGTCTCTCTCTCTCTCTGTCTCTCTCTAGCAGGCACAGAGGGCACATATACTTTACAGAAAAACTTAAAAAAAAAAAAAAAGAAAAAGGGGGTAGGGGATTCTTTAATCCCTTTCTGATTATAAAAAAAGAAAAGAAATAACAAAACTACCTCTACCCTTCACCATAGAAACCTTCCTGTTTCCCCTACCAGTGAGGGAACTGACAGATGGACAGTTCAGGGCAACAGTCTTAAAAGGCTATTGAGCCAGCCACACAAATCCTTTCCAATTTTCATTTTTCTTTCTCAGTTATTTTCTTTCTGTTATTTTTTTAAAGAATTATATTTAACTTTATTTATTTACTTATTTTCATTTGACCAGAGAGGGACAGAGCAAGAGCAAATGAGAAAAGGAAAGTGAGACTGCAAGCTACCAGGTCTGAGACTCAAACCGTGGTCGGCCATGTCCAGTGCCCTTAGCCACCACATCACCTGCCAGCCCCTTCAGTTATTTTCAAATGTTGCTCAGCAAATAAAACAGCAAGGGGGGGGGAGGATCCTGACTTTCACCTTAGAAAATTGTGCAACAATTACTTATATAGGGGGGTGGGGGGCGGGGATCCTGAATTTTACCTTAGAAAATTGTGCAACAATTACTTATATGTATGGAAGACAAACTGTTTCATTCTTTTAAGAATTGGAAAGGATTAACATTCTTCCTGATTTGCCTTCTTAGTGAATCCCTGCTTCCTCCTGCCACACACACACACACACACACACACACACGGTAGTGCAAACTAAAATCACACAAAATGATGCTATCTCCACAAGAAATTGAAAAGCCCAATAACACACCCCATTCTGCTGACATTTAATGTGGTAATAAAATTACACATTCTTTTAAAAACTCATTTTCTCCTTGAAACTCTAGAAATACCTATCTTCCTCTTCCATTTCTCATCTGCCTTAGTTTATACAAGCAATTAAACTGGCTCCTTTTTGCTGCAACATTTTTCACTTAGCCTGTGCACTGTAAGTCTAATTTGTTTGTTTTCTTTTCTTCTCCCTAATAGAAAAGAAAATAAAGTCATCCCTATTTGCTTTAAGGTTATTAACAGCTTAGAAACAGTGATTAACAAAGTGTGCTCTGAATCTAATGTTAATCTCTATCCCTCCCTGGCTACCCAAAACTCTAGTTATTAAGTTTGATTCACAAACTCATAATTAGCAATAAACATCTACATCCTAGAAAACTTCTGTCTGCCCTAGAAAACTAAACTATTCCTAAGTTCCAAGGCTATTTTTATCTACTCTAAAGACCTACAGAAAGATGTAGGCCTTACCCTCTGGCTGAAGTTCACACTCCTAT